ATGCACTCAACCTTGTATACCCGGTAGTACGTCACCCTTTCATGTATCCATAAAAACAACTTTACGTAAATGTTAAATATATAAATTTCCATAAACATTCAAAGTCCTTGAGCAGCAGAACTTCTAAAGAATGTGTGCTACACCACTTTCAGAATTTAGTTTAAAAAATTTGAATTATATATGTAAACCAGGCTCAGTTGAGTTGACCTTGATTTTGCATTTATTTCTCGTTTACAACTGGTACGAAAATAAACTGATCTGGAAAACCCGCTAGCTTTCAATTTCAACACTGCCAACTCTGCTTGTTGTGACTTTACTTTCAATCATTCAAAAATAACAACACTCATTTGCATATTGAAAGTCTAGTTGTATTTTAATGCCCAAATTTACAATAAAATGTTTGGTTAATTTGTGAGCAAACCATTTCAGATGTAGAGCGTTTATTCAAATTCATAAATCTCATTTCAAAATAGTTTTGTCATATCTCAGTGAGTGAGTTTGAATCAGAGCAGTTTTCGCAGTCTATGTTTTATATTTTTTACAAATTAGTTGTGACCGTTTAATTGTCTATAGTTGTATTCTTGTCTTGGCGAAGTACACATATTTGTCAGTTGACTAGACAACATGTATAACACAGAGGAGATGGAAGGTTTTCCTGACACAGAAAGTACCATAAAATTATATCCATCCACAGAGCACTTCCTGCGATGGGAATCAGATATACATGCGAACATAACTATAGACCACAGTTGTAAATTCTGATATTAAAAGATGTTAAAACATAAGTGTTAAATTACCCCTTATAAAAATGGTTGTGAAAAGTGTCAAAGTCGAAAAAAACATCGCTGGTATTGTTCCTAGGAATATTACAATGTTGCAAGGGAAACTCAAAGAGTTTTTCTGATCAGTTTATTATTTTCGTCTGTTGTTACGTATACCTGTCTTTCATTTTCCAAGAGGCTTCTTAGTTAAGACCTTCATATGAGAGGAATGGGAAGGGAGGGAGGGGGCGGGGGTCAAGTTCTGAAAGAAAAATTGTAGGAGTAATTAATATAATATCATACTGTCAGGATTATGTCTGCATGCAGTATAAATGCATTCTGACAAGAAATTTAATCGTAATTTTTTATTACGTCTGTCTCTGGAGTTATAATGGTTAGTGATTGTCTATTTAAACTCTATAAAGCTGAAATGAGAATTCTTTAATGGGTTATGCCAACAGTCATCAAGTATGCTGTCTGTTAACTGTCTGTCTGCGTGCATCATTCACAGTATGACGCCATCTTGTAAAAGTGTGAGTAACGCTGAAATATTGATCACCATGGAAACACATAAATAAAATGCTTGAATATTACTGGTACGTCAAATCAACATGAGAGATCAAGAATCATTCTTTATGTTTTTCACACAATATATTGTGGAAAACTATATAAGAAATTGAGCTGAATTCTTTTTGCCGGAGAAAAAATAAATCATAGCACTCCATTCAATGGGGTTGGGTATATTGAGCATAAACAATTTGTTCACTGTGTGTCCAGCTTCCCTATAAATTCAAACTTCAACAAATTCATAGTAATTATCAAAATTATGATTTATTTGTGCTTTATAATGCATAAAAATTTAATATAATTTTTCATATGGTTCAAAATTTAATTTCAATTAAAAACAAAAAAAGATTATATAATGATTTTATAGTATTGTTGATAGCTTAGGAATGAAACAACCAACAACTACACGTGGTGTCAAAGGTCATCTAGCAGCCAGCCAGCTCTATCATATGTTTGTATGTTTCTGCTTCCCATGAAGTATATGGCAGATAATATGTGTCTTTGACATGTGTTTAAGCAGGAGATAACATTTGCACCATGTACTAAGGCTGTTTCCGTGCCAACATGGCTGTATCACATAGGGCTTCCAGTAACAACAAGCAATATGGGGTTTTGGTTTTAATTTTAACGGTGCTTTTTTACTACGGATGGAACTCAGTTGATGATGAACACCAGGTAATATGAGAGAATGTATTGATGTATGTATGCCTGCAGTTATCACGTGTAAGCTAAGCCACAATTGTACTGGTATATTGTCTGTCTGACGTGCTCTATACTACGCCATATGGAATGCAAATGTGTTTAAAAAAAAAAAAAAATTAATTGGAATTTAATCTAGAAATTTAGTCTTAATTAATTAATATCATCAGTGTATTGTTACAGTTTAGTGTACACTCGGTTAAACATTCACTCAAATTATTTATTCACAGACAGTCACAATATTGTAAACTAAATAGACCACATATAAATGTACCTCCTGTGATGTTCAGCCTACCTATCAAGACTACCAAGGAGAAATTATGTGTGGTGCACTGCTCTCATTAATAACACACATACTGTGTTGAATAAAAAAATATTTGCATGCAGTTCGCTTATAATCTCATAAATTTGTTTTTTCCCTCAAGAAATATATATAAACATTGTAGTTATAATGCCCGTAGTTATCAATATTGCAAAAATATGGTTTTAGCAAAAATGTATACAATAGATTTTGCATATAATATTTCAGTGTGCAATACCTGTGTGAAGTATGTGCATTGTATACTTGTGATAACATAAAGGATCTGGTACTCCATAGTTGAGAATGTACAAAGCGATTAAATGGGTTTATTCAATGACAATACTGGTGTGGCAGGTATGGACACAATGGCGCTGCATGACCGCTTCATACGCATAAATCAACCTTGCAATCACAGTGGAAATAAATCATCATAGTTTTAGACTACATGTAGTTAGGTTTATATCTAGATCACAAGACTCCTTTAAGTCTCTGTATTGATTTCTTGGATTGAGATTCAATCTAGCAAGGAATGTAAGCTCATTCGATATATAATAAATCCCTGTGGTACAAGATGCTTTAATCGATTGATCAATCAATTAAATGAAGTGATTACACGTTGTAAAGCGTCAGCTGTTCAACCTGGTATTCATGTAAATTACATTTTCTAGACTCGTCTGTGATGCTGATAATGTTTTTTTTTTACCTTGAGAAAGTTTTTTTTTTTTAAGATTAACTGATTTAATCATATCAGTAGATCTGATTGAGACAAATAAAATGCCGTTATCCATTTAAATTTTGCTGCAGTTAAGTTTCTCAGCTGTTTGAAGGAAATTTTTTCAAAAGTCGCTGTGGCTCATATGTTCACTACGATCCAAGGTGAAGGTACAAACTTTTTCTCTCGCAAAAAACCAGTAATCATATACTGTAGAATACTTTATTTTCGCTTGGAATTTATTTTTCACTGAATGGATGATTCCGTTAAAATAAAATCCAAGAATATACCCTTTTCCGATACTTCACATTCAACTCATCAAAAATCAGTGAAACTAAATTTCAT